TATGTGCTCGTGAAGTCTGTGGACAAAACAGATGTAAATATTTGCCGTGTGGGGGAGGACCAAAAATTACACTGTGTGACTTTGTCAGCGTGGTAACTGGGCTGCAGGAAAGCTCCTCGGGGAGCTCCCAGCTGCTGGCGTGAGGGAGCTGTGGAAAGCACTGTGTTTTTAGATGGCTTGAGGCAAGGCATTTCTTTGGGAACAAGGCAAGTGTCAAGTTTGCTGGTGGAGCCCATGTGGGGTCTGAGCTGAAGCGGTGTGTGCAGCCTGGTTAGAATTGCTCAAGATAAATCAATTCAACTTGACAGTACTGGTACAAGGCAATGGAGCAAATACAATATCAACACGAAGCTGAGTAGCCTAGGAGAGCAGGAAACAACTTGGGTTTTGCGTGATTCACTCATCTTTGAAACTAAACCTGAAGCTCCTTGGGCATCAGATGAGATTTGAAGCTTTTCTGTTTCAGGTGTGTGACTGCCTTGAAGGCTGTTATCCCCAAAGGGGAGCCAGGCAGTCCAGCAAAGTACAAACCAAAAGCCTCGGGCAGGTTTCCATAGACATGGTTCCTAGCACCTAGGTCTATATGTTTCTTTGTCTATTCAGTTTTGTGTTCCTGGAAGCTTTTTTGAATGCAGATGAGAACCTTACATTTGGTACCTAATGCCTTTTTATTTCTTTCTAAACTACCTTCCTCAATAGCTCTGTCTCAGCCATTCGCTCATGTTACCTCTCACTAATGCTCCTAATGAGGCTCCTGCTATTTGTAAATGTCTTTGCTTTGAGATRTGTTTGCCTTTTCCTTCTCGCTTTATGAAGACTCGCAGGTCTTCAGAACTTATCTTGTATTTCCTTTATCAAGCAAAGATTGCAGGATTATGGATATTTTAAATCTGCCTTTTTGGTTTATCTTGTGTACTGGACTTCCCCTTTCTTAAGGTGAGACCATGCAACTACAATAGAACAAAAACTGTTGTGTATTGAGCAATTGAGATGACTTCTTGAAGAAGCATGACCTGGACTGTTGATTTATTTCTACTTTGTAATTCACTTCAAATATAGACTTCTGCAGCACCTCTGGTAAATTAATATTCTATTGCCCTGATGCTTTTTCAGTACAGAGTCCATGCCAGCACTGAGGTGTCTGTCTGAACTGCAGAGACCAGAAGGGCAGACTAAAAGGTGTTTTGACCAGACTTTAGAAAAATCAGTGCCAGGTGTTACAGGGTATCATTGAAAATACATTTCCTTCATTATTGTCACTTCACATGAGAATAACTCCTTTAATTAGAAATCCCATGCACGTGTGCTTCATCGCATGACAGAAAAKAAATGAGTGTATATAGTAAATATTTGTCAGGACTTAAACTTCACAAAAGGGAGGACTATACTGCATGTAATTTTTTCCTCTTTTTTTTTTTTTTTAGCTTAACTGCTATGGGTGACTACAGAACTGTAGCCAAAAGGTGTCTACTAGAATCATTCATGTCTTCCTGACATGAAGACAAATGTGGTGGTTTGTCCTTGTTGCAAGGCATGTTTTTCTGGAATTCTGAGATGGCTTCAAATTCAGTTAAATGGYGAGTTATTCAAGTCTCTCTAGAGCTGGACCTGTTGATGGCAGAATTGCTCCATCATTTTCGTGTGTATCCTCATACAGAAGGATCCTGAAAGCCCATTTTTTTTAGGATATGCTCCTAACAAATGTGAAGTGCAAGTTTAAATAGCCCCGAGCTTTTTGGACTGTGGTTCATTAAATCTGTCTACTAGTAATGAAATTTTCCAGATAATCTCCCTAATTCACATGTTGAAGTTAGGTGGTGTTGGGGTGTGTTATCTTGTGACCTAGTTGCTCTCCTGAGAGAGTGACTGTCACTAAACTTCATTCTAGGAGAGCATTTTATTGTTTCCACCAGTAATTTAAAAAAAAATCTGTAAATTCTTATGGGGAAGCTTATTCAGACTTAATTATTTCCTTTAAAAAGCGCTAAATAAGAAAATGAAAGATATATAAATAGGCTTTTAAGGTGGATTATTCAATATTGCTGGGCAAGTCCAAATATCTTCAGGTGTGCTAATTCATCAGCAGGATGTTGCCTCAGTTTTCTGCTAACTCAATGATAGAGATTATATAGCAAAATAACCAAATTCCTAGAGTATCCAGTGAGTAAGCAGGCAGGCTGTGGTGCTGAGATCACACAGAGAAGATTAAATCACCCTTTCTTACTGTCTCTCTTAGTATACTAAAAAAGGCAATTTCTGTGGAAATCTGAGCAGATAACTTTGCAATTAAAATAAGACAGCATCAAAAAGCTTCCTAAAGAAGGATGAATACATTTGCTATGTGAGGAARAAAATGTGCTTCAYTGTAGCATCGTGTGTTTATGGGCTCTCTGTTAGGTAAAATTGAGTTGTGTGTTTCTAGTTTCATGTCAAATTCCTGCCTGTTCAAAAGCTGGCTATGTCAGGCAGAGATTGAGATGGAGCCTTAGATTTTATTCAGCTTATTCCTCTGCCTTGCTGGGCAGCAAGGAAATCAGCGTTTCCATGTGATGACCCTGCCATTGAAAGGGCTTGTCCCGAAGGAAGTATTCCCATTAGACTTTGGGAATGTTGATGGAAACTGAGGATGACGACAGATAAAATAAGAACAAGGTCTTGGTCTGGCTTAGACTTTTTGAAATTCAGAAACTGTATTTTTTTTCCCCCCCCTTTTCAATACCAGCTTGTGGAACCTGGATGCCAAAAAGAGTTTAGAGGAGGAGATTAAGTTTAGCTGTGATAGTTTCAGGGCTGTTTGGAGAAGATGCTATGGCTTCTTCCCCTCTGGTTTTGAACTCTTGTTTTTCTGTTGTTTAGGTGGGTCTGATGAGAGGTTCAGTTGACAATCCTCTTCCCAGATACGTGGCCGAGTGCTCAGACCATCTTTTGGCTATGGGCACGGGTGGTCTGAGCAGTCACAGTAGTTAAACGTGGGCCTTCCCTTCCAGGAATGCCTAAGGGCTGAGTTTAGATGAAGGGCAAGCAGCATCACCACTTGTCACCCTCTATATAAACACATCTCATTTTATCTGCATATGAAATATTGGAATAAATGGCATTCCGCTTTTTCCTCAGATCAAGCAGGAAATTGTTTGACGTGAAACTATATTTTTGTCGGTCTTGTTTTAGGTGGAGAAGTATTTATAATATAGATTTGAATTATGCTTCCTTTAATTTAGCATTGCAGCAGTTGATGGTGGAAATTTATAATTTGTTTGAAATGTGACCAGTGGTGTCTCAACGGCTGTGAGAATTCACGACTTGTGAAGTTTGACAGTTTGGGGACGCACTGTAATTGTCTTAATTTTGAACATCAGATATTTAGGAGCCCCAGGAGACATAAAATCATTTCAAAACTATGTCCTTAAATGTGTAATGACATCTATTTAAAAAAAAAAAAAAAAAACTAATTTTTTTTTTGGCAGTAGGTTATTCTCTTTTCCACTGTATTTTCAACAGAGATGGAGGGTGTTTGGGGATTTTAGTGGACACTATCTAATGTATAGAGTGGAGCAGTTTGGGGAATTCTCTGGAATTTGGGGAAAATATTCCTCTTGTACCTCTGCAATGCATTATCCTTACAAGATTAAACTTCAGCTTTCTTTAGTAGRATTGATATTGGACATATAAGAACACCAAGTCTGTATAAAATGTGCATTTTTATTTGCTTATAAATAGAAAAAGGGTAATTCTAGCTGCAGATTCTGTATGGATGTATTAATAGGACTGTTAGCTCCTCTAAGCTTTTGGACAAACGTAGCAGCAGCTGGTGTCATTTGGGAGAARCTTCTTTTTAAGACAAAAATGTGAATTACACGGCCAATAGTAACGGCGCAGTGAGACTTGAGATACTAAACCCAGGAGCTGAAATAGGGTTTCGTTAGGAGGACACRGTCCGAGTGCAGATTTTTCTAACCCTTTCTCTTTGCCCATCTTGGCGTGTGTCTTGCTTCATTTGCCTTCCAAGGCATGTAGCGTTTGCTTGTTTGCTTCCCCTCTTACATAACCATTTCTAAAGCTCTTTGGCCAGGCTGCCGCCTCTTCCTTCCCCCTGCAGTGCATCAACCTCAGGGAAACGCAGCGGGGACGACTGGTCTCTGCTGATTTCTGGCCACCTTGGGAGCTCCCTTTGCTTTTCTGCAGCTCTCAGGGGGTTATTTTAGAGTTAACCTTGTTCTTGCACTTGAGCTCCTGAAAACTCCCTGAAATACGTTTTCATAAATGACAATTCCTGTTTTATTGGCTCTGCTGTTGCACAGGGGAATTTAATATTGGCTTCCCGCTGAGGAGCAGTGGCTGCTGCTGTGTGTAGTTYGCTGCTGGTGCCAGCGGGTGCCCTCTGCCACTGGGCAGGGTGGCTGCTGGTGGTGGGACCGGGCGAGGGGAGAGGAGCCAAAGGAGCCATCGGAGCATCCTGAGCTCTCCACGGACTGGCTGGCAGGTTGAAAATGCACACGCCGTTTACTTGAAGGAGTGAAAACTTTCTGCTGTGTTGGAGTGGTTTCCTTAGGGAAGGAGCTGCTCAGAGCAGAGCTCTGAAGTGGAGGGACTGGAGGGTTTCCCTGGCTTGTCCGGGGAGGATCCTGCCAGAGGCACCTCYGTCCCTGCCGGCATCTGTCCCCGCTGCCTTGCCCGGATCCGGCTGCCGGGACACGCTCCTGGCCGTGGGCACTGCTGGCCCCTCCCAGCTGCACCGGGACAGGCAAGTGGGAACTGGGCTCGGAAACCAAGTGTCTGAGCCCAGAGCTGAGCAGAGGCACGGACGTCTCCGCTTCTCCTTTCCCAGTCATTAGTGGATAACATTTGCACAGGCAGTGTTTAGGGAAGGAYTTTTGATCAGAGGAAGATTTTTTTTTTTYTTTYCCCCCAGCAGCGAGTTTGGGACAGCTGAGTGGAAGGTGGCTTCTCCTTGTCTTTTTCCTGCACCAGAGGAGTGTTAATTTGAACTTTCTGTTCCTGCCATGTCAGCCGTGCTCATCGAGCTGGATCGGCTCCCCTCAGCTGAGACTGGGAGCAAGGAGGGCTCCTGCCCGGGATCTAAGGAAGGGGAATGCAGGGAAGCGTGTGCTGAGCCTGCCAGTGCTCAGCTGCGCTGCTCATACTCTGCTCCAGCTGGTAAGCTGCGCTCACGGGCACCATCTCCCCACCTGTGGGATTAGCTCCTCCTGTAACCTGGGGTGGGTGAACTTCAGGATCCTTTAAGGAGAAACATAGGATGCTTTGTCGCACGTGTGGGAGGTCGCACGTGTGGGATAGACCCTTAAGGCTTAGGTTGCCTTTGCTGTTAGCACGTTTCCGCCAGAGCTGGAGTCGGGGGTTCCTGTTCTCCTGTGGTCCTGCAACACAACCTTAAATTTGCCTCTCGGACCCTGAAGAAGTGCTGATAAAGAACTAGGCAAAAATCTTGTTTCAAATCGTGTTCTTCCATTCCCTAGTGAAATCTCCATTTTTTGGCCTTTGCAAACCACCTTTGGGGTATTTTTTACCCACACTTGCAGTGAGCAAGGCTTTGCAGTTTGCAGCGTTGCTCTGGGCTGAGGTCTGGATGAGATGCTCTGAGCAAGTTGTTTGACTTGCTCATATCGTGTCCCAAAAGAGCTTCCAGCTGCTCAGCCTTGGCCATTGATACACATCAATAGCAGCGGGATATGAAAGTTTAATCACCTTCCTAGTCACTTCCCACCTAAGTGGGAAAGAAGAGTGTTTTCCTAAGTTTAACTTAGTGCATTTTCCTCTCTGATATGGTGTGAGTACCAGTCCTGAAACATATTTAGTAGGAGTGTGCATGTACACCAGAGCATAGCGCAGAAAGGAGTACACTGGAAGCACAACTAGAGTATGGTTTAATTAACATCTTATGCATAGCTACTCTGCCAGGCAGTCTCTCAAATAGAAACTGTGGTTAGCTCTATGAAGAATCACTTTTTTTGCAAGTTAAACTTGAATAAAAGGTTACCTAAGATGGATAAAAAATGCAAGGGCAGCTTGTTGCATTCTCTTAGAGGTTGCACAGAGGGAAGCTGCTCCTTCCAAGTGTATAGGAAGGAATTGAATATTACCAGCAGCCAATGCTTCTTGGTGGCATTCTCATTCTTGGGTAATAGATACCAATTCTATTCTAAAAGCGACCCACRGGGTCTAATTGAAACCTTTGGGATTTTTGCCATTGTAATGTGGGGTAGTCTTTCCAAAGGCAAAAGCCTGCAATGTGACTAGGCTGGCTTAGGAACTGTTCCATGAAGGGAGCGGTGACATCTTGGTCCTCTGGTGCCGTGTTCCCTTGGTGCTTGGCTTGGCCAGCTCGGAACAAAGTGTGGATGGACCAGCTGTGCTTGTAAGGGTGGGGGATAGTGTGGGGCTGATGCATTYTGGAAAGGTCAAGTGATTAGTAAGAAAATAAGCTTGTTTCCATTTAGGTATCCACACCTGAAAAGGTATGAGCATGCGTGAGGTTTGGGTAAAGTGGCTTCAGTTGTGGGCTCCAAGTCCAGCACTGTCCCTATGCGAGACGTGCGCTCCATCAAGTAGATGTGACTGTGTGGCTTGGAGTACAACAGCCATYGAGTGCCCAAGCTGAAATGCACCCTTTTCTGACTTTCTTGTAGCCTTGCATACATGGATGGTTTGGGGAAAGGGTCTGAAAGTTATTTTCCACACATAAAAGTTCTAAGTTTCTCTCTGAGAAGACCGTTTTTCTGCCTGTGTATAGGAAAACCTTCTGACACTGTAAGGTTAGATGTAAAAGGGTCAAAATGAGGATAAGATGGAGTAGTAACCGAAAAGGATTATTTTTRTCTTAAAGACCTGTTCCTGATATTCTTTGACTGATTCATGTGGCACAATAACACAGCTAGCCTGACAGGATCCTCCGGGAAAGGGAAATGATTGTTGGAAAGGTGAGAGTCAGGGAAATGCTTTACAGGTTTAGCTCATACTTTGCATCCAAGACTACTCATTTTCAGACATTTCATGAGATGTTTCAAGACATTTTAATGATTTTTTTTTTTTTTTTCAATTTTAGCAAATCCAGAGCATCAGAATAGCCTTTGAGGCTAGAAAAGCAGCAGGACTGACTGGAGTTTGACCAGACTATATAAAATGAAGTCTCTGTCTAGCCATCAGTGAGTGAGGGGGTAAAGAAAGGATGAGCAAAGCTCCTCTTTGAGTGCCCCCTGAAAAGATGATAATCATTTTACTGGTTAAAATGCAATTGAAATCCTTATCTTGAAGTGAGCCCTCTGTCAAGCTGCCATGTAACACAGAGTCCAGTCGTAAAACATACCTGCTAATCTAACTTTTGAGCTGTGTAAATGTTCACTTAAGTGGATTATAGTTTGCACAAAGATTAGGTACTATTTTTTTCCCTATTCCCTCTTCTCTATTTTCTTTTCTTGCACAAGAAAAGGTCAAGAAGCACATCTTTATTTCAAGAAGCAGCTGAGACTCTTGCCAGAAAGGTCAATATTGAGCAGTAATCCTTTGGCATGCTATGCCATGATAATGCCAATACTTATTYGAATAATCACCAAGAAAATAACTTATTCCACAGAAGAGCTGAAACAGGATAAGTTATTAGCGATCTCCTGACCTTCACACCATAGAAAGTATTTCATTAGTTCTGATGAGTAACTAATTATGCATCTTTCTGAGCTGTTATGTTTAATTTTGACTTTACCTTGGAGGCTGGGCAGAACTGTTCTGTACAATTCATCTCAAATCCYGGCAAATAAGGCCTTGAGGTTTATGAAGTAAAACTGAGGTAGGCTTCATTATGTCCAAATCACCATAATTAAAATGCAGCTCCTTTTGAATATGGAGCAGACAACTGGTGTAGTGACTGGAAGGAAGAGCAAAGAAGTGTTTGCTCCTAGATATGCGGAGATTAGGATTTGTGTGTTGCTTTATGTCTTCAGAGTTTAGACTTTAATACTGACATGAGTCTCTCTATTTTGCTCTTCAATCTAAAGACATACTACGTGCTATTATGGAGAGAGTTTTGTCTCTCTTTTTCATGTTTTCCCCTGTGCCAAGAGTTCATTAATAATATACAAAATAAGCCCATAGCTAACAAATAATTTGGAGGTCCCATAGAGGCCAAATGCCCTAAGGCGGTCACCTCTGCCCCAGGGCTCGTGACTTGCATCCTCATATGGCTGTGATAAATGGAAACTACGCTGGATATAGAAGAAATGTAACTTTTCCCACAGGCATCATTACTCTTCCGTGCCTTTCCTCCCTCTAATGAGCTATTTGCTTTCAGTTCAAGAGCAATGCAGGTCAACTCATTCTGAGTAAAAAACAGTGTAATTTATAACTGGAGCATAGATATGTATTTTATTTCCCCAGATTCCTTCAGTAGTGATCAATGAAGCATGTCTACGTGAAGAATGCACCATCCTYGCCCGTTATCAACATTTTGCCTGTTTTGAAAGATAAATTCAGCACTGATTTGAGCTTTGCTGCTGGCTTCCAGCTGTGTAGGTGTGAGATGGAGCATCTTATAAGTTGCTCAAACTTGACTCCTGCTCTTATTTTTGTTTTTTTTTTTTACTGTATCTGCTCTGATGTGCTTTGTGCCCGAGTTAGCAGAAGTCAATCTCTGTGCTTGAGTCTCTTCTCCTTTAATGAGCATGAAGTGACAAGTAGGTCTCCAGGCTGCTCTAGGGTGCAAGATGCTTCAATGCAGAGGGGGAGACTGCAGAGGCCTTTTAAGATTTCTTAACTGTTTTAATTGTAAGACTATGTCTTTGTATGCTATAATGGCAAAAGGATTGAAGGATTTGAATTCTTCCTTAGGATGTGGTCTTCATTGCAAGAGCTGACAGTGGTGTTCACACCGCRTGTGATGGGGCAACAAGTGATTTTGTTCGGTAGCTGGTGTATAAGGCATTGCTAAAATCTGACTCCGAGCTGATATGTTGATACAAACACTGTTTACATTTGTTAAGTCATCCAACTTGTCTAGYCTCTCTAAGTATTTCCATCTGTATTATAGTCTGGCCTAAGTTAGACTCATTTAAGAAAATAAAGGTGGGGGGAGGAAGGAGACAAGCTTCCAGAAAACAAGTTTTGTAATATTTTTTAAAAGATATCATGGGAGAGAGGGAGTTATACCCAGAGTTATCTATGAGGGCAATAAATTTTATAAATAGAAAGAGTTTTGAGTGGTGCTGGAAGAGGAGAGCGTGTTTTTTGCAAACGTACAGAGTGAGAAAGAATTGGACTGCCTGTTAATCTTGATCCTGAGATGTGGTGTTTGATGGTAAAGTAAGAGAATGGTGATGGGATCCTTAGGAATTAAGTATTCTATATAAAAATGTATTCATAGTTTGGTAACTTCAAAAATAAAAAATCACTCTACATCTGAGCATACATTTTATTTGAACCAGTGCATTGGTGCCAAATTGCCCTAGCTGGCTAAGTTTTGAGAACTGGCCTCAGGTTTAGAGCTTTGAATGTTTAAAGGTAGCATTTGTAAAACCCAGATCTTCTTTCCTGTGTCAAATGAGAAATCAGCAACACTTCAAAATTGGTAAGTAAGCAAACATCTGGATTTTTTGGCACTACTGCTTGCTCTGCCATGCAGTGTGCTTTACTCGTGTTCTCACTGTGGCGTGCAACAGTATTTACTGCAACAGTATTCAGTGTTACTGAATGCTGCTAACCAAAAAGGCAGTAAAACTAAAAAACAAAAAAAAATCCCTAAAAATTCTTAGAATAGAAAATTTGATTCTTGGGCGCACAGCGATTGAAGAGTCTCATTTTCCTTGTAAAATAAAAGATAACTTCTACAGTATCCTTTTCTTTTGTAATTTCAAACAAAGGAGTTTCTGGTATATTACATTAAAGGTTATGAAAATATCTTTCACCTTTATTGACTTTTTTTTCCTGCTAGATGTTTTCAATATTTTTTCTAATTTTGTTATTTTCTTGGATTCCCTTCTAGAATAAGGAATAACAAGTCGGTCCTTTTCCAGTCCTTACAGATGCCGATGATGCCGGCAGTTACCGCATGTGTGGCCCAACAAGCAAGCTGCTTAATGTTGCCTCCTTTTGTCCTAAACATCTTGATTTTTGGCATTTGAAAGCTGAAAAGTTTGATCAGCACCTGTTGC